CTCTGTTGCTGTCTTCCAATTGCCTTCTCTCCTGCAGGCTTTATTAAAATATCTGTCTGTCTCTATCTTATAAGGACAATCATGATGTGCTTATGAGAGAGAGACAGATATTTAACAAAGACAGGCCCGTTTAGGGCCCACCTGGTCAATACAGGATAATTTTCCCATTTCATAATCCTTAATTTATATGTTCAAAGGCCCTTTTCCTATATAAGGTATATGTATAGGCTCCGTGGAATGGAATCTGATCATCTGAGCATCATACTCAGCACTAAACCATGATAGAACGTACTCTCGGTGTTGGTACTCTATATACAACACATGCTCTTCTCTCTCTTTCCTCCTCGTTCTCTCTTTCTCTTCCTTGTGATTATAAATCTCCTAACTGTCCTAAGTTTATCCAGTGCCACCTATGTCCAGGTCAGAGCGGCACACATAGGAGGGTCTTGCTGTGGTTTTGCTTAGAGACCTGCTCTTTCCCTTATTATCATTCAGAAAGAAGGACACAGCCAAAGACAGCCCTCAGCCATCTGGGGAGAAGCTGTCTTTACAGGGAACAGTCACGGGCTATCATTCTCTGGACCTCTGCTTATCTCAGATGCCTGTGGCCCTCAGCCCTCAGTGGGGGTCTGTGTGGCCCCTGACTCGAGTAGGATCCAACAGGATCCTTATCAGAATATCTGATTCACAGAAGGCAGTGAGTGTAAGGTAGGAGATCGTTAGGACTTGTATTCTGAGCACGGATCACAACATTGGTCATGACAATGCTGATCAAAACAGGATCTGGACAAAACAGGATGCACTACAGAAACTGGCCCAAACCAGCTAGAACCAAGATGGTGACAAAAACGACCTCCAGACCAAAGCGTGAGCCGGTCTTCCCCTGAGGGCTCCCGTCAGACAGAGTGGCCGCCATGGCTCAGTGGTGGGTGGTTATAGTATGAAACCCCTCCATGGTCTTTTCACAGCCCCCGTCTGACTGCAGTGATGTGGGATTTCTCTGTCCAACCTTTCATGGCTCGAGCAGCTTCTAGGACTCTGTTCACAATGGGAGGTTATCAAGGTAGTTAGGCTGCTCATGAACAGAGTGACATCTGTCCAGACTCACCCGCTTGACCCAGGCAGGCATCATGTCCAGGGGGCTGTGGGAGCCGGCAAGAGCTAGCAACCAGGCATATTTTCCCATTAAGCTAGGCAAGGACACTGCTATTACCCTGACTGGCCCTGCTAGTAAGAATGACCCTGTCTCCTAGAACATGGGGAGGGGCCTGGAGACGAGCACCCCACAATATCCCAACTGTCATGTAAGTGAGGAGCAAATATGAACATCCCCAAATATTAATTCTAAGTAAATGCTTTATTCAGTTTATTAAATTCTGATGAGAGAGCAAAATGGGCTAAAAACTTCATCTTCAAGGAAACATTCATGTTTAATGCACAGAAACTGAAGTTGAAGCCTGAGTCCTCTCTCCCCACCAGAGAGTTGGAAAAGCAGGAGGAAGAGAAACAAAGTTGGGTCCCCATGTCCGCGAGGGCCTCCTGAGGCTGACCTTACTCCGAGAGGGTGGCGAAGGTGGATGGGTCAGCTTGCGCTGCCACATGAAAAACACGGGACTGGATGGCATAAACCACAGAATTTAATGTTCACATTTCTGGTGCCTGGAATATCCCAGATGGATGTCCAGCAGGGTTTGTTTTCTGGTAAAGACGTTCTTCCTGGTTTGCAGATGCCACCTCCCCAGCCCCATTACCTCAATTATATCTTTAGAGGTCCTAATTTCTACAGCCACAATGAAAATCAGAATTTGGACATGAATCTGAGGACACAATTCAGTCTACAGCAGGTGGGACACAGCCAAGGCCATGCTTCCAGTCTCAGGGCACGGGGCAGGTTCCCACAACTCAGCACACGGGTGGCTCCTCCCAAGTGTCACAGGAAAGACCTGACTCTAACTCTAGGGCTCCCTGTTGATAATGGGACACCAGCACTCCTACTTTCCCAGTGTTCCTGAGACCACGGTGTTGTCTTTTGTTTATTGTGGAGTATGTTTGCCATCTTCAGGCAGGTCTTTGACATAGCAACTTACAGGACATTTGATTCTGTGATTGTGAAAATTAATTGATTAATTAATCATAAATAACAAATTAAACAATACATTGAATCAGAAACAAAGGAGGGCCAAATAAAGAGCTTAAAAGTAGTCTGAGTATCTAAAAAAGACATATTCCTTTCAAACAAGAACAGTTAGAGTAATAGATTTTTTTAATAAATGACATTTTAGCAGCAATTATGAAATAGCAAATGACAACTTCAAATAGGCTACAACAAATATAAGTTTATAGCCAAAAAAATATTTTCAAGAATTATGTAAATGCATTTTCAGATTAAAACAAACAAACAATGAATGTGGGTTTATCAGCAGATCCAATCAGTGGAAAATTTCTCAATTGCGTGATTGAGTCAAAAGTATATTTGTTACTGATGGAAAGCTCCAGATTTTTTTTTCTGTTTTTGTTTTTGGTCCTTAGAAGAAAACAGCTTTCTCTCCCCTCTGTTCGGCCTCATGCTGCTGAGGATGACCGTGGAGGCAGTGACTGTGAGGAAGGAGGAAGACTGTGTTCTGAGGGTGGTCGTGCCTCCTGCCCACCTGAGTGACCTCATGGAGCAGAGCCACCCACACCGCCAAGGCCACCTGCCTGCCTCTGCACTGCCATGGCACAGACACAGAAACCTTGTTGCATTTAGTCCACCATATTTTGAGGCTTCCTTGTAATAAATTTGATTATGCTCTGATTCTTCTTGTATCTCTCCCCTTTCAGTTTTTGGAATCATTTACTTTTCGCCATTTTGACTTGAGAATATAGACCTTTGGGATATCAGCATCAGGTAGGTTGTACAATTGTTTGCTTTTCCTAAAAACATATCTAACCACCTTGAATGGATTTTGATTTTATCTTCTGTCTCACAGAAAGCAGAAACTCAAGGTGATTAGGTGCTGTCAATCACAGGAGGGCTAAAGTGACAACGGAATTGCTGTATCTTCTGCTCTTGCTACTTACATCTTATTTTCTTTTACTGAATTCTGTAATAAAATTTAGGCTCAATGATGCATTAATTAGTATTTTTGAATAACATATTAAGTGTCTTATGATTCTTACTTTGAGAGCTATGGTCTGATAAATATCTATATACATTTTTGCCATGCAACTTTTAAATCTAACAGAAATGACATATTGGAATTTTAACTGCACTTACTATGGAATCCTTTATCTTGAAATAAATCATCTCACTATAATTTAAGTCCTTAGCCTTCATTGATACATTGTTCTATTGGCTTAACTAGTCTTTTGTGTCTCTACACCATATTATCACATGTAAGAGACATCACTCATTACTTGGATTCATATAAATTTATTTGGCAGAACAATCAGATCATGATTATACATGATAACACTTGGTCATACTGGGAAATTGCAATCTTCCCACTTTCTAAACTTTCTCTCTCCTTTACCACTCAAACAAAACTGCCCTCTCTAGTATTATGGTGAAGAAAGCACTGTTGCTTTTTTAACAGAAAGCAATTCTGTTAGGTTTAAAAGTTGCATGGCAAAATGTGTATAGATATTTATCAGACCATAGCCCTCATATTAAGAAAGCATAGGCTGGGCATGGGGGCTCACACCTGTAATTCCAGCACTTTGGGAGGCTGAGGCAGGTGGATCTCGAGGTCAAGAGATTGAGACCATCCTGGAAAACATGGTGCAATCCCATCTCTGCTAAAAGTACAAAAATTAGCTGGGTGTGGTGACGTATGCCTGCAGTCCCAGCTACTCAGGAGACTGAGGTAGGAGAATTGCTTGAACCCAGGAGGCAGAGGTTGTAGTGAGCCAAGGTCGTGCCATGCATTCCAGCCTGATGACAGAAAGAGACTCCGTCTCAAAGAAAAAAAAAAAGAAAAAAGAAAAAAAAAAGAAAAAGAAAAAGAAAGCATGTAAATTTACAGCACTATTGTTAATGGAATCTATTAAGAGCTTAATTTTTCTATGCATTTACAACTAAAATAGAGGATTCAGATTTATTTTTTAGAAAAAGTGTCATATAAAACAACACATTTATTCAGTATTTGAATCATTTTCTTATGAAAACATAGTACTAAGTATTTCCTCTCAAAAACACTATGTCAGTAAAATATTTTTAAAATTCTAAAAATTTGAGGAGGAAATAAAAATCTTACATAATTCTGCATCGTTCCTGTGGTACATTACAGAGACTTTACGTTTTCTTTCTGAGTTATTTTGTTTATTTTCAAAGTCCACTATTGGATTGCAGGAACTCCATTTTCAGTCAGCAAAAGGTAACTGAGGAAAATCAATCCATTTTGGTATTAGGATTTATATCTGCTGTGGATTTTCAAAATCTACAAGTAGTAAAAAAAAAAGCAAACATTTTAACTAATTATTCTTAGCCGTACTCCTGTGAGGACAGCTGGTGCAGAATGCTTTCTCCACCATAATATTAGAGAGGCCAGGTTCATGTGAGTGGTAAAGGAGAGAGAATGCTTGGAAAGTGGGAAGATAGCAATTTCTCAATATGACCTAGTGTTATCATGCATAAAACTATCTCCAAACCAGTCATTTGTAACATGTATTTCACTTGTGTTACCACTAACCTGCATCCATGATCTAATTTTTCTGCAAAATAAATGGACTGGACAAATGTGGGCAAGACAGGGAGGGTGAGGATGAGCTTTCATTCACTCTCCCTTCATCGGAGCTGGTTGCTCCCAGAGCACATGACCACATGTGGAAGCTGATGGGGCCTTAACATATGGGACTAAAACACAACTGAGGCTCTCATGGGCCAGAGTCCTCAGCAGCAAACTCTACCCTGTATTCTCCAACAGCCTCCTCTTCTGCAGTCTCAGAGACCCTGCTGACCTGCTCCCCAGACAAGTAGTGCATGTGAGCAGCTGGGACACCCCAGCAGGGAGGTTCCTGTTCTAGGATGTAGCACTGTGGGAGGAAACTATACTTTGCATACAGTAATACACCCCAACATCCTCAACCTCCACCCGACTGATTTTTAGGGTTAAATCAGTGCCTGACCCACTGGCACTGAACCTGTCAGGGACTCCAGAGGCCCTGTTGGAAACCTCATAGAACAGGAGCTGTGGAGACTGGCCTGGCTTCTGCAGGTACCAATCCAAACAGGTATACTCGTCACTATCCAAGAGGCTCTGACTAGACCTGTAGAAGATGGAGGCCGGCTCTCCAGGGATGACGGGCAGGGAGAGTGGAGTCTGGGTCATCACAATATCCTCACTATATCCTGAAATAATAACAGAGGTGTGCAAGATTATATAGATACATTATGAGCAGCTTTCATTATTTGCCTTAAGATATCCGTTTACAGTTACATATATTTTCAAGTTTTGATTTATATCATAAGAAGTAGACTTTCTAAAATGAACCCATTATTTACTAGCCAGCAGGAAACTCTTTAGTTTCAAGATCTTAACCAGAGCACTGGTCATTATTCCTAGAAGGTGATTCATGCTTATTTCTGAGACAAAAATATGAATTCTCTTTCCTCGAGCATAGACCATGTGCTTGTAACACATGGTTGAAATAAATACAGGAAGCTGTGAAGCCTCCAGATCTCACCCTCCTACCCCATTTTCCCACCTTATTTTATTCCTCTCCTTACCAGGGACCCAGAGCATTAGCAGCTGTGGGAGCTGAACAGGGAGACTCATTGTGAGAAGGTGACCTGAGGAGTCCTGATCAGTCAAGGCAAGGTTAGGGCTGAGCTTTGTCTCAGACTCACAAGGGAAGGTCCTCCCTTAGGGACAATATGCAAATCAACTGGTGGGTGCAGTGGTGTGGCAAAGGTTGATGGGGTGGGGGAATGTCTCTTCTGTGAACAATGTGACATAAAATGTTTGTTGGAGCAAAACAAAGATAGTTCAAGTCAAGTTTGCATGTGGTCAAGGGAAGAAGGCTCTGACTGTGAAAGTTGGAACTTTGGGCAGGGACACATTGTGCAGAGCATGCCACATGGAGAAAGCACAAGGACCCTGACAATGTGGAAATGTGTTTCTAGGATGCATCTCTAGGAGGTGAATGCCATCCTGCATGACTCCCTCCAGTCAATCTAGAGAAGAAAACAGCTCCGTTGCCACAAGCACTGATGGGCAGAGGACCTGCAAATGAAAAGCGCTCGTGAGCCAGTTCAAATGTTGCCTGGTGTCTGCTGTTTCCAGGATAACTGGTCAACATTGTCCAACACACGTGTTAGAATCTCCCCTTCCCTGGCACCTGATGACTGAGCCCCATAAGAGCACTCTGTCCAAGGGCCTCACAGGGAGAATGATGTGGGTCTCTACATTTAGAGCCAAGAACCCAGTGTAAGTAAGAGGAAAATGGGCAGGAGTGTTATGCCTCAGGCAGTGAATATAAAATTCCTGGTGATCAACTGTTCAATCTGGGATACTCCTATCGTGATCATCTCATATATATAAGATTAACCAGCAGGCCCTCATAGGGGAGAATTTCCTAGGTTAATGATACAGACCAAATAAGAAATAACACTGCATGATGTTTTTCAGAGTGGTGTTTAGGAAAACTCTTCTCACACAGTCTCCCTGGTCATGTGGGATCAGGTCCTATCAGGGCTTCCAGGTTCTTGCCAACCCTGAGTGAGACCTGAGTCACCCCCAGTCTGGATGTGCCGTAGCCACAGCTGTGAGTCCACAGTTCAGAAGGAAATTGTCTATATGAGAAGAGCAAGGACTGCATCTACAGTTTTATGTCTCAGGGTAACCTGTACCTGAAACTGACATTTTCATGGTTTCATGTAAAGATGCGCACAGCTCAGGGATATGAGTCTGCCCCACAGCTGATCATTATAAAGGGGATCAATCTCATGTTTCTTCATTTGTTAGTGATGTGCTTAATATTTAATTGAACAGCTCCTAAATAATGGTGCCAATACCAAACACCATCACAAGGACAGTCACATTTCTGGAAAAAAAAATAAATCCTGGAACAATTGAAAGACTAATTTTTATTGCTATGTAATCTTGGGTGATTTAACAGAAATTCATATTTAATTGTCCAAGAACATAAATAAATGAAATTCTGAGTATAATTCCAGATGAAATTTGGTTTAAAATATCTTCTGGGAAATCTGCTAAAATAATGCTTTTTCCAAGATTGGAAAAGATAATTGAATAACGATGACATTGACTTTTAAATATTGAATGCCATTGCAATAATTTGTGCCAAGGCAATCAAATTGTACTTAAGAAGTTGGTTTATAATAAAGGATCATATTTTATGATTTCAAATTTATTTACTCTTTTCCTCATTAAATTTGGTAACTTTTGTGTACTTGACATTTTCTTTTCTTATGTTATTAACCAATTCTAATCTGCTTCTTAGTCTTGAAAGAATTAGACTCCTAATTAATCATAATAGTGAAAAAAAGAAACGTCAGAGGCTGCAGGAAAAGAAAAAGAAAACACAAAACATAATCAGCCTAACTAAAATAGAATGAGATGGTGCATCTTATTGCAAGTTTTAAATAATTATTCTGACAGGGTGTTAAATGAAGAATCAGTTCTATCCATTATTCAATATGGAAACTTGAATTGCAAAAAAGTGACTAACAGTGAAAAAAATTTTCAGGTTTTCTTATACTAAAAGTCAATTCTTAAAAATGTTATTTTTGCAAAGTATTCTTTAAGATACTTGAATTTAAGATAGTCTTGCTCTTTCCTATGAAACTTAATAATAAATCGTTAAGAAGGCTACCACTGTGATTAAAAAAAAATCTCACGAACTTACATTGCCTTACATACCATAAAATGTCAAATCTTGTAAAGATCTTTTATAGTCAGAAAGGGGCTTTGAAATTACCCTATATTACTTATATACTTAAAGAATAATATTACTAATTCTGATTAGAAACCCCCCTCTCTTATCTGTTGACACCTTACCCCAAGGCTTCGACAACAGCAGACAAAGCTGGTCACTCCACAGTGGACAAAGATCAGAAGGTTCTGAACGACCTCCCATTCAGAACTAGGTGTGCATCAGGCCTCTGAGTGTCTCTAACACGAACCATGGTCCCCTGAATGAGGGAGAACTTATGCAGGTGAGGTTTATTATGGCTGTGTCTCCTGTTCCTGATGCGGTTTGTTTGGGATCCATAGAATTGGGAGCAACTGCATTATTCATAAGGCTTGGGAAGAGAGACTTAGAAGTGGAATTGTTTGTGTTCATGACCCTGGAGTCAGTGTTTGGGGTGGACACTGTGATCTGATTTGTAGGGGATTGGAAGGACTTGCGGCCTGAGCAAGGAAAAGAGATGGCCACATAGGGGCAGTCTCACACATGACTTTATTGAGTGAGGCTTTCACAGGTTTGCAGAGACAAGACCCTCCCAGCAGGAATCTGTGCAGAGAATAAGATGCCAGGGTTGCTTCTCAAAACGGATGGGTCACTGGACAAGGGGCTGTGTGTCTGGGGGACGCCGCACAGCAACACAGTGGGAAGTTTCTGGTTTAAAGTTCTCATAACTGGAGTTTATCTTATTGCTAACAGATGTGGTTGAAATTTTCTGGACATGCAAAGTAATTATTTTCTAAAAGCCTAAAAATATTCTTCTTTTGGCTGTTTTAAAAATAATTACATTGTAAAATTTGAGTTTGGAGCAGGCCATTGAGAAATAAATGCAGTTTTGAAATAAGCAATATAGGGGTCAGAACACACAGACCATGTTTGGCTCATTTATATATCACTGTTTCCAATTCTGTAGACTTTGCTCTACAGACTGTGGTAGTCCAAATTCTCCAGACCAACACTACCATGGAAGAGGCCGAGAAACACAGAGGCCTGTGTTACCTGGGGCAAAATGAAGGTTCTTTTTGATTAAAGGGGAGTTTCTCTTTGGTTGAGAATTAAGACCAAGCCACCCACGAGTGTCCCTCTGTGAAGCTGCAGGTCCTGTGACTGGATTCCTGGCTGCAAGGAACCTGGGGTAGAAGCTGTCTGCATTCTCTCACTAACTGTAAATTCTCACTCAATGGAGCATCGATTCACAGATAAATACTCTGGATCACAGAGAGCTCAGGGAATGAAGGCTCCATGAATGTGTATCTTCTGCTTCTGAGAAGCCATCTCTCCAACACTGGAAGAAACAGGGTTGTTTGTGTGTTTCACCTTCAGACCCCGTTCTAGACCTGTCTAAGCTGAACATGTTTCCAAATGTTTGAGGTATTGTTCTTCACTTTTTCTTGGAAAAGATATTTAGAAATTTTATAAAACTATACACACAGCTGTGGGATTAAGTGGTGAGCTTTTCCTCTGTGCTTGTTAATCTTTCTGCAGAGCCCACCTCACCTACAAACAAACTGCACAAAGGGAAGCAATGATTCTGCTTCCTTCCTGAGCGTTCTGTGTCTTAAAAGTTCCCTCTCAATTTTCACTCTTGCATAAAAGGTCTTCTGGTCTCAAAAGTAGGTCTTCACAAAACCTTAGCTTGCTTAGGAGGTTAGTAATTTTTTCCACTATTTGAATGTGATATTGACCTTGTTAACTATACAATAAACCCTGGCCTATTTGAAAGATGGGAAGTGGTAAACCCAAAAACTTTCCTGAGAATTAATTGGTGAGTTTATCCTTTAAACTGTAGTGGAAGCTGCAGTTGATATGACAATTTGTGTGAGAAAAAGTAAAGTAACTTTTTTCTCTTAACTTAGATAATTTACCTATAGAAAAAAAGGAAATAGAGTTTGAGAGTTCTCACACTCATAGCTTTTTCTTTCATATTAAATAATTCTAAGAATCCATAAAATACTCATATTAATTATAATTAAAGAAACTTTAAGGCTCTCAGGAAAAAAATCAGGGATCAAATTAACTCACTTAAACTGATTCCTAAAATAACTGAAATTGTCTTTTAGCTTCTTCCTTTCATCTCCTGCTAGCAAAAATCGAAACTTCAGAACAGGAAACAGGTAAGAGCTGAATAAATTATTTAGTTCTCATTCCTTGTCTTAAAATAATAGTTAATAATAATAATAACACAATCTCTGCATTGACAACTGGAAAGAGTGACTCCCTGCCCTACTGGAAGCAGCAGCTTCACCTCACGGTACTGAACTTCATTGTTACTTGTTCTCTCTAGAGCAGTAGCTAAGAATCACCCAAGTGTAAATGCTCCATGAACAACCAACTGACCTTGCTTTTCAATACTTCTAGAAGTTGGCTCTTATAAAATGCCTCCAAGGAGGAAGAGAATGAAAAATCATTAATAAAATAAAATTTAAAAAGATAAATTCTGACCTCCCAGGAGCAGTCAGGAACGAAACTACTAAGTTTAACAAAGGACTAGAGGCATCATCTCTTGCTAGACACTTACTTGGCTCCGTGTTACTCATATTTAATATTCTTACCTTAGTAAATTTGAAACATCCTCAACCTGCAAAATGGTTTATTTTGTATTCTAGAATCCTAGCAGCCATAAAAAGAAATTAAAACCGAATATGAGAATGTGTATTAATCTGTTACCCCGGGAAAACAGATTATACAAAAATTAACAATATAAGGCAAAATAAAAGAGAAAATTCTATTCATTCTGTGGAAAATCAAAGCAAATATCTAGTTCTACATAACAATTGTGAGTATGTCATTAAGAAAGATGAGTATCTTTGGTTTCTGGGTTGATGCTAACATATTCAATTTCAGCAAG